GTAGGGTAACTATAGTTATCACCTACAGATTAGGGGACTTATAAAGCCCACATTATAGCTGCCCCATGAACCTCCAAGCTCATCCGGGCTTCTGGAAGCCCGGGGCCCAGATCCGGGGGCCCAGGATCCCGAAGGTGGTTTACGGTTTAGGGTTTAGGGTTTAGGGTTTGGGGGTTTGGGGTTTAGGGTTTAGGGTTTAGGATTTCGAGTTTAGGGTTTAGGGGTTTAGGGTTTAGGGTTTAGGGTTTAGGGTCTAGGTTAGCTTCAAAGGGCTCCCAAGTTAGGTGGAAATAACTGGACGCTGAACCCTGAATCTGATATAGGGGCCTTAATAATTCGAATAGGGTTTTGGGGCCGTATATACTATAACTATAATAAGGGCCCCCATAAAATAGTATTGGTAATTAATTTAGGCCCCGACGTTAAAACCGCAAGCCGTCCCTAACCTGATCAGTGGCCACCGACTCGAAGAATCGCGAAGGCACCAATTCCCGAAGGGCCGTCAAGGTGTGATGAGCGATACCGAACAGCCTGGCTGAGGTTTAGCTATATAAGTGTAGTTAGGGTGGAGAGCTTCTAATCCAATAAGGAGCGAAAAAATACCATGACTTAAGATGGGGGTGCGTAGGTGTGTTTCTGTGAGTGAGGGGAGGCTACCATCATAACGAAAGCGTTTGTGATTTACTACCACATATTACCACATACAATATGGGTACATACATACACACATGCATACTTACATTCGTACAAACAGATATATTATGGCAGCTTGAGCTCCCTTACTATAACATGATCCAAGTAGCCGGGCATTTCGGGCGTGGCCGGCAGTGGGCATGGGAAGCGGCGACTTTAACCGCAAGAGCCCATCCTCCTCCGTCAGGCACTGGAATGCAGAGGACGAATCTACCTGTTCAGGGGAGTCTAGGTTTTTTTTCCGTTTAAAGTTTAGGGTTTAGGTTTTTGCATGCAAGCTCTACGTGACTCTACAGAACAGAAAAGAAGTTGTGACCCCTTAAGTCAACACTCAAGTAGCGGGGAGAAGCCCCAAAGCGGTAAATAATTGCAGCCGCAGGTACAACCTGCTCCAATCGAGTGGCGAAGAACAGCACGGAACTCCGGACGCTTCGCACCACATCCTTCAGCAGGAGATCTGGACAGCACTCGACACGTTCCAACTCCGTCACCAGCAGCTGCACATATCGCCGCAGATCGTGCATGGTGGGAAGCTCGTCCGTAACCGTCTCGCCAGTTCCCCCGATGCGCTCACCAGAAGCACTCAGGCTTGACAGCAGCTTATCCGGCAGCATCATCTCGATAGGATCAGTTACACGTCGGATGGACTCGCCCAAAAACTCGTTCCGCAATTCCGCAGCAGACTGGTAAAGTTGTTCACGCTCTGTTGACTTCATAACTTTCCCACGGCCCAGCTTCTCGACAGCGGATACCAAACTTTGCAGGACCTTCGGGCAGTCTGAGATGGCCTTTGATCGGAAAGCTCGGTCCTGGCACACCTTCCCGAGCTTGGCCTTAAAGACACTGGCAGCTTCAGTCCAGAAGTGAGCCGTCAAAGAGCGAACGCCAGCATCTTCCAACACAGATTGGAAGCTCTTGTGCGTAACCGGGTCGATCTTCGCTGCCACGATCTCCTCCAAGGCGTGCACGCGCTGCGTCTGAGCCACCAGTACCTGGATCGTTTCTTCAAGTTTGAGACCCGCATAAGCCCTAAAGCCTAAACCCTAAACCAACCTCAATATCTCAGCACCACACATGAAGCTCAAAACCGATAAAACAGCAAACTCTGCACTGGAGGACTTTCGAGAGCTTCCTCGCCTGGAGGTTCACATCCAAGCCCTGTAGAAAGCCCACAGCTGACAACGGCGCCTGTCTGACCTCCTCCAGGAGCTCCCCCAGCAGCTTCTTCAGCTGGGGCCAGAGACTTTCTAAGTTGAAGAAGACCTGGGGGGTCAGGGTTTAAGGGTTTAGGGTTTAGGGTTTAGGGTTTAGGGTTTTAGGGCTCCGGGAGGTTTATGGCTTCTAGGACTTGCCTATGGAATTATGGGGGAGCAGCGTGGAGTTCTGTAAGCTTTGAGCTTCTGTCCCAAATATTCGAACTGGAGCAAACCAACGGCTAGAAGCAGCTACACGTTTGAAGCCCTCACGTGATTTATATAAGCTTCAGGGTTTAGCTCGATGCCGGAGGGGTAGGAACCCAAAAACCTAAACCGTTAACCCTAGAGCTCTAGACTCTTAAGTTCAGGTCGCCCCTAGACCCTACTTGGAGGATCATGGGACTTAGTAAGTAAGGTTATAGTATAAGTATAGTTACCTTAGTTATAACCCTACTTACTAAGTCCCATGATCTTTTAAGTACCCTGACCCCTAAACCCTAAAACCCTAAACCCTAAAACCCTAAACCCTAAACCCTAAACCCTAAACCCTAAACCCTAAAACCCTAAACCCTAAACCCTAAACCCCTAAACCCCACCTGCAGCGCCACACT